TTAACTAACGAACGGAGACGTAACACAAGGCTTCTTTATCCTCAAACCTGTTGCGAAATGACGCTCCCCCCATTGTAAGACTACATAAACGTGAAATACCACATTATAACAATTTTTTTTAAAATGCGCCTTAACACTCATTATCAGTATCGTTGTAATAATATTTTTTCTGTGCACTATATAAAGTTCCCTCTTTCTGCTTTACGCTGTTTGAAAATATCGATTCAGGGTTTTTTTTTTTTTTGTTGTTGTTGTTGTTGTTGTTAATTGATGATGGAACATATTTGACGATAAAATATCGTAATGAAATCTTTTAGTAAAAAATGAAACACTCTTCTTAAACGAAGCTTATGTTCTGTAAAATTTTATTGCAATATTTCTCGTTATTGATATAGTGCAAAATTTTACAAACTGTAGACAGCACATAATATTCTATTTTGTGCGAAGCATAAGCTAAACAAACGCCCTCTATTATTTAAGCATAAATGCATAAAAGTTGCTCTGTATTACTATTAAGGTACCCTGTCTAAAATTCTTGTGTGTCTGGGACGTGTCGTTTGAAAATATCGTTTCTAACTTTTGGGTTTGTATAATTTCTGGTAATAGATTATTGAATATGCAAAAAAATTGCAATTGGACCGTAATGAGACATTACTCATAAATAAATCTTGTGTGCTGTACGATGTTTTTGTTTTTATTTCAGGCTATATCAGTGTGATATCTTTTTTTATTTGATATCCCTTACTAATGCCAGTAATGGCCTTAGTCAGTTAAGTTAAAAATTGAATTTGAAGTTAGACTTTTGAGATCATCATTAATTCTAATACACAATATTGTATTCTCACAATTCATGAATAACAGGGAAGCACTTTTTTAGTCTTTATTAATTACATATAAAATGAGGTACTAACACATTCTCAATATGGATTGATCTGTTTAAAACTGATATTGATAAGGTGAGAGAAAGACTGGAAATACGGCATTATTATTGTATATATAAGTGCTGTTAATTATATAAATACATTATAATCTTACTGAATATCCGAACATGGAAACTGTTAACTTTTTTATATTAAAACTCAACGTTTTTGTAAACAGATTATAAATATAACAGTGTAACTTACATTATAAGCCCTCAACATCCAACATGGTAAACTTGAATCAAGTGCCAATAATAGTCTATGGTATACTCGGATCTATAAGAATGGATAGTTAGGCCTACAACACTTACAGTACTACAACTAAAACAGTTAGTAATACTACTGATTAGAGCACTAAACTGGACCCAGGACTTGCACTTGTAGTTGTTTTGTTTTTGATGAAACCTTCACTGAAAGATAGTGTAAAAGCTTTCTGTAATATAGACAATTATATTGTAATTCAACTCCAAGTTTTGATTTAAGTCTTGGTACAGTTAATTTGTTATATTCATTAATTACAAAGTTCAATTTGGGTAATCTTTATACTATGAGAGTCACCAAAATTAAAAACCATGCATATGCTATATCTAATTAAATATTGCCCATTTTTGGTATGTTGCAGCTGTTAATTATACAAGTTTTTAAATAGATGTTTTATATTAAGACAAAATAATATGTATTTAGCATACTCAACAAAAGTCCATCACATTTGGATGTGTGTGATTACAAACCCATGGATAGGATTTTGAAACGTCTAGCAAGACCTTGTTTTGAATATTCCCTTATTTTACAAATGTACAATTTAGAAAACTTAATGTTATTATTTTTTTGCAATAACCAACATTTCATTTATAAATCTTTTAATTTCTGGGATATTGTTCATTAGATGACATGGTTTATACAAATGTAATACTCAAGAATTTAGAGTTTGTACTAAGTTTCGATTCCAATTGATAAAATGAAATAACAAGAGAAAAATGTACTTAACTAAGTATAAAAAGTACTTTTCCTTTACTTACAACCACCTGTACTGAAGTGTAGTTGAAATAACATAGATTATTCTAATTCTTTGTCAGCTTTAAAGATATAACAAAATGCTTTGTTTGACAGTAACTTCACTCTAGTGAGAAGGGCATATATTTATGTATTTGATTAATAAGTTTAACTTCTCTTGTTTGTACTAAGAACAAACCATGTCTTTAGGTAGCCTTTTTAGGGTATAAACTCGTGTATTTGGTTAATGAGTTGATCCTCTGGTTTTCCTCTTTGTAATTAGAACAGATTACATCCTTTGTTAGTCTCCTTTCTACAAGAAAATGAGACTTCAACTTATATTGCAGAGTTAAATTTTATATAAATTGGTACTGCTTGACATACCTGTTTGTTTATTTTTTGTCTCCCAGGTTGTTTAAAACTTGTGTTTGAAGTCATGGCAGCTCTAAGTGATGAAGAGGTGGTAAAGGCATGCTCTGAACCAGATCCAAGCACAAAGGTGAGTGTGCTAAGTATGTTGATGGAGGAAGAGGCTTGGAGCTAACATTATGTACAAATATTTCTGTTCTGCCAGTGTATGTTGTGTTCCTTGAAGTAAAGTATAACATATTTATTTTGCTTCCTTCTTTATTGCCACTTTCTCTTATAGGATCCTGGGATGTGTTCTGATAAGCGATGCTTAATTATGATGAACATCTACTATTTGTATATTTCCTGTTATTGCAGCATACCTATAAAGAAAAAGATGCACATATTGAAGCAATTCTCTGGACCTTGTAAAATTTCATGTAAAATAATTTTATAGAAGGTATCTGTGAATAATTTTGAAGTGCTATTGAGACAACTACCCCAAATCTGGCAATGTATATCAGAGTTTACTGTTATAATTATGAGGTTGCTACGTGTTTGTGGTTATATAGAAAAAACTAAAAAATGAGTAAATTTCCAATAGACCTGATAATTTGCTGAAAATAACTAAATGTATCGGAGATGATAATTAAAAATTATTTATGTGAGCATAAAAATAAAAACTAGGTTTTGTTTTAGGACTGATCAAAAAAACAATTATTTTATTTTTTTCTGATTTCTATTCATACAAATACAAAACTGTTTTGAAAGTTGTGCATGATTACCATGTCATCAAGTTTGATCAATCGGTAGTTGGAGAAAAAATTACTAGCAACAGTACTTAATTACTACATTTGTTAATGATGTGTTTGCATGCTTTTTTGTTGTTGTTTTTTTCATTTTTATATGTGCCTTTTTTCAGGATTTTTTCTTTCAACAAACTATGTTTCGTATCAAAGATCCAAAAGTATCTTTAGATTTTTATACAAGAGTTCTTGGAATGAGGTGAGAATTGATATTTATAAGTATAACCTACCTTTCTTTTACAATTTGTTAAAATATTTTGTTTGCTGTATGAATGGGATGTTACTCTAGACCCCTACAATTAGTAGTTGTGTTCTATTAAAGATTTGAAAAGAATACTCCATTTTCATAATTTTATGTAACCCTTGAATAATTATTCATTAGTAACTTTTCAAAACTGTGTGGATAATGAGCAGTATTTTCATAAAATAATAATTGTTGTGCTTATATTTTTAGCTGCGGCATAGCGGCTCACAGCATGGCTCTTACTTCCTCAAGTACAAACTTTTAGCTCATAGCTCCATCATCTCCTGGCTAATTTGAGATCTAATTACAGTTTTTGACTCAGGAGGTTAAACCCTTTCAGTTGCATTGACCACACCTAAGGTCTCATAAATTAATTTACTCTAATCCTGCCTAAACAAATTTCAAGTGCTGCAGCTATTGAGGATTCCCTATTGTTTTCATATTGAAAAATTAATAGATGAATAATTTCATAATGCTTAAAAACTTTACTTTTTTTCAATATTTGGTCTTTTTTTAGACAGTTTCTTCTCTTAGAATATCTAGCTGCATCTACTTGATGTGATGAATGTATTATATTGATCAAATATTCTAATAAAGAGGGAGGAATGATAGATCAGAATTATTTCATGATATTACTAACATTTTAAGTTTATTTTTAAAATACTAGAGAATCCTTGAAACCTGTATAGAAAAGTTATACGAATAAAGATTCTGCTTATTATTGTCTGAAAAAACGTTTTTGAATAGACTTTTGAAAGCTTTTATAAACATTTTGAAACTTGTAAAAATAACTTTTTTCCCCAGATTACTACAGAAATTTGATTTTCCTGAAATGAAATTTTCTCTGTTCTTCATGGGCTTTGAAAATTCTGAAGATATTCCTAAGGACAAGTCAGAGCGCACAGCATGGACATTTTCACGCAAAGCAACACTGGAACTCACCCAGTGAGTAGAAAACACAGAATTTTTTTTTACCTAAATAAACAGTGGAGTTCAGATTATAATTATAGTAGTATACTGTAACTTAGCCCTAAAAGAACACCATTAAACGTTTTTATAACATGAAATTACAATAATAAATATACAAGTAAAGACCTTCCTTACATTCGTAACATGGTGCAATAAACAGTGTTTACAAATGATTTCTTTGATTCTATTCAGAGAAAGTTTTTTTTCTACAATTTCTATAAATCTAACTTCTGCACAAAGAATTTATGTATACTTTGTTTAAACTATGTCATTTCTTTAGAGTTTTGGACACAAACTTTGTATTATTAGTACTTTTTTTTCTCACAATACAATCAGAAGCATTATTTTATTAATATATTAGATCTGGGCAGTTAGTGTTATTTGCTAATTGGTTAATTAATGGACCTTATTAATCTTTTAACATTCAATTAATTGATCAATACGGTGTTCCTCAAAGTATAGTACATAGAAGCAGAAACAAAGCTGGTAATACTTGACATTTACATTCCTTTCAGTCGCCAGTTCAAAATTTGTGGCAGCAAACCAGTGATTGGCGGCAATGGGTATTGAACCCTTAAAAAATGAACCTCTTTCCCCCATCTGAATCACCAAATCTAAATAAATTGAACAAAGAAAAACACTTGTAGAACACAGATAGCCAATTATATAGCTTTGCACAATATTTAGGTTACTTGTATAGTTGGAATAAACAAAAATATTAACATTTGGAAACCCTAGTTTCAATTAGTGAATTATATTTGTGACAGTTGATTTAACCATAATTTCAGTTGTTGGAATAATTCAAAACTGTAATTTTGATTAGTTTATTTGATAGAACTGATTTAAATGTAATTTTGATTAAGCAGTTAGTTTGCATGGCACTAACTGATCTAATTGTTTCTTGTAGGTAATTGATTAAATTGCTTAGCTCTGATGATTATGATTAAAAAAGGCAAGTTGTTTTAATTGAGTGTGGCAGCAGTTTCCATTAGTTTTACACACTTATGAACTTAGGTTGTAAAAGTAAAGGAGTTAAAACTAATTGGTTTTAGTTTTCTAAGAAATTCTTACCTCTATTACTTGAACCAGCAGAAACACCATCTTATGGGCAGCTGTTTGTACTAGTAATTACTAATCGTGTATTCATACCTCACTTAAAAAAATAATTGGAAAAAGTGAATATTTTCTAAACTTTTATTATTATTATGTGTGTGTGTGTGGGGGGGGGAGTACTATATGGGAAAAGTGTTCAGATTTTACTATTTAGTCATATGCTATTCATTGCATCAAAATGATTCAATGTACAGAGTTCAAAATTTTCATTAATTTTACTCCTATGAACTGTCATGTTTTTATCTAATAAAAGTCATACTGTTTATTGAAAAAAATAATAGTTTTTTAAGAACTTTAGTTTTTCACTACTACATTTCAAAATGATATTAATAAAGATATATATAATCAAATTGTTATATACAGTCCTAGTGAAAGTCATGTTCTCATTGTGAGTAGAGTACTTCTACTTAAAATTGTGCTCTTTTATAAAGAAATGGTTGTTACACAATACCACAGTTATTTTTCTAATTGTCTGAATCTTGAATACCCAGTTTTTATGGATTTCTATTTGTGGTGCCATTCAATAGGTGGTGCAGGAGTTTTGGTTACATACATGCTTCATCCATTATAGTAAGATTTCTTGCTTATGTTTCTTCAAGTATCTAACAATAAGTATTTATTTTTTCAGCAATTGGGGTACGGAAAATGATCCTAATTGTAGTTATCATAATGGAAACTCTGATCCCAGAGGATTTGGTAAGTAAATCCAGAGTGTATTTCATCTTGTTTTTCCAACATTTTTAGTTTATTATGATATGTAAACTAAACCCTGATATCTCTGTTAATTTTGTGTTGGAAAATGTATCATCAGTAGTAAAAATATCTGTAATAAAAGCAGCTTTTTGTGACTGTCATTACTTTTTGTTTGAAAGTCCTTGTAAACTTGTGTGTTTGGAAAGCAAAAGTAGCTTTTGTGACTGTCATTACTTTTTGTTTGAAAGTCCTTGTAAACTTGTGTGTTTGGAAAGCAATGCCATACAGTTATTTCATTTGTGTCGTAATTTATTATTTATTAGTTTTGTTTAATGTCAAATCCATTGTTATGTTACCGGAGTGATTTTGTGCTTGTAAGAAAATTTTGCTATAACAGTTTAATACAGCCACATGGGTATTAGAGATACTGATGAAGTACATACATACATACATACATATAGCAAATTTCAGCTTACATTAACTAATATAATAAATGTGTGTTTTGGTTATTTGTAGGTCATATTGGTATTGTTGTGCCTGATGTGGACATGGCTTGTGAAAGGTTTGAACAGCTAGGAGTAGAATTTGTGAAGAAACCAAACGATGGTAGTGCCAATTTTTGTTCATAAATTTTATTTTTCTCTTTTAATATGTTATTTGTTTGTCTTGCATCACTTACTTGTGTGTAGTAAATCACTTTAATGATTCGCTGGTTTAATTTCACTTTAGGAAAAATGAAAGGGCTTGCCTTTATCAAGGATCCTGATGGATATTGGATAGAAATCTTGAATAATAAAAACATGGTCACCGTCACCTAAAGACCTCGAACAACCAGTGATTTCTACTTATCAAGAGTAATGCTGAATTTTCAGGGTCGTTGTTTTTGATCTGCTTGTAAAAGACAAAGGCTCCAAGTATGGACAAAAATATATATTCATAGTGAATTACACAGTTTTTGGAGTTATATGTATTATTGCTGTGCTTTTATGTTGTAGCTCTGATACTAACAGAATGAAGATTGATTGGAATAAATAATTCTCCAGAGATTATATGCAATAAGCGATTTCGAGTTAAGTGATATTTGATTGATTTTTGTAACCTTTCAATGGCTTAAATGTTATTGTTTGAAAATGAAATTAAAACAATTCCTGTGTTGATGAAGGCAAAAATCTTTAATAAATCAGAAGTCTTTATTTTATGTTTTGTCATTTTATACAATTTTAACAGCTCAGATAATATTTTTCAACAAAATGTGTTTTTTTTTTTTTTACACAGCTACATTTTACTGAGTAGAATTGCATATTAAGTTTTATACTAAATGTCACAGTTCCTTAACATTTATCTAAGATGATTGTTCCAAAAACCGTAACATCTTTCTGTGATAAGTTAACCAGAATCTCAGAATTTTGATGTTTGAAGATATAGGGCATCCCAAGCATAAAAAAAAAAGTGGAGAATAGTATATTTTAGTACCACATAACCTGTTTTGGTAGTTTTTTTTTTTCTCTTCATTCACCATGATGAGCACCAGGTAATACATAGGGTAGGAAGAAATGTAAATTAGCAAAGCATCAGGGTGACTTCAAACTCTTTGGTTGTAACACACTATTCAGGACAAAAAAACTGTTTTCTGATTTGGAGTGATAGATCAAAATGTTAACAAAATATTTAATTTGAGGTTTACTGGCTACACATTATTTAAGTTAGTGTTATGAATAAAGTTTAATCTGTTTGTGAAAGTGTACTTTTTGTGGAGTTACACCTGAGGATGTGGAATGCTGTATGAAGGACATTGTTTTGCAGAACTTGTAGTTTTTTAACTATGCAGGTACAGCTTTTGTCTGATAGAAGCTGTATAAAGTTGTTGTTTTTGATACATCTAACCAGCCACATAGTTTGTTTCCAAGTAAACCAACGATGAATGTTATTAAGATTGTTTTTTTAATGCAAGTTTGAAACTATATTGCATTCCCAAAAAGTTAACTGGTGTGACTGTCAGAAGTTCTTTACAAATTAGAAATCGAAACTGTGTCATCACAACGGGAAGTTTATATCTGTAAATAGTTGTATGCAGTCTTAATCTCTCAAATCCCTGATGTTTATATGTTAACCTGATTTCTAGGATTTGAAACTTGAATTTTTAAAGAGAAAACTACCTTAACCAAAACCATGTGTGTATAATTTTCTGGGGAGGAGGGGTCCTTTGTGTGTGTGTGTGTGCAATATTAAGCTTTCTTTTCTGGTAATTTATTCATTTCTGCATGTTTTTAACTTATCCATCTTGTGAACAATAATCACATTTATGCTGTTCTGTACATTATTTATACATTCAGTAATATGTAATGGAAATCTACCATATAAAAAGAGTTCAACCAATTTATAAAGAAATGCAGTTCGAGCTAAGTGATTAGTGGAATTTGATAACCTTATTAATTGTTGTGCTTATTAATTATTTTCATAGTTGGAATTATCAAAAATAGTAATAATTGAGAACATTAAATTAATTGATTATTTTCATGAGTTGTGACATTAACTGATTAAGTTGAACAACCACGAAGTAATCAAGAATAATAATAAATCATAATGGTAATAGTTTTTATTTCTTGGATAGTTGATATAGTAAAAAACAATAATAATTGAAAATACAAATTTTGATTAATAAATTATTTTATGTGACACTAATCATTGCTCATGAATAATCAAGTAAATTGCTAAGCTCTATGTATAGTTATAAAACATTTTCTTTGTGAAACATAATTTCAAATCATCATATTATTTAACATTTGAATTAAAGATAAGAAAATATGCTTAAATATTACTCTGAATATGAGGTTGATTCAATGAAAAGTGGCATAACTTATGCTAATATTATATAAACTGTCTATCATTTAATACAAACTGACTATCCAAAAAATTACAGAATGTAACTATTAAAGGATTGAAACATCTGTCTTAATGATGGTAAAAATTTGATGTGTCATCAATACCACAAAATCGTAGTGGATACATCTGGTGAAATGACGTACTCCAAAGATGTTCCACTGGATTGAGATAAAAAAAACTATGGTGGCCAAGGAAGATGGTATATGTGTATAAGGTCTACGTCATGTTTCCAAAACTTACCCTGCCACCACATAAACCTGATGGATGGTGGGATGTCATCAGGGAGAAAGCAGCGTTGTTAGGTGTTTCTGGTTGTCCAAGATCTCTAAATAGTCCTTGGACATCATTCTAGACAATAACACCACATCCAGCAGCTTGAGCATTGGTGGTCCACCATATTTAAACCCTCCGATCTGTTTGGTCTAAGAGTTCAATCTTGCCAGTCATGGCACCACTCAAGGTAAATTTTACAATTATTGTCCTTGATTCATGGATGTGTTGTGATTCTGTACATTGTTATACATATTCCTCATTCCAAATATTTTCTAGGTGGAAACAAGATGATCACATCAATTGGGAAATTTTTAAGAAAAAAACTGGAAAGTTAAAGAATTATAAGGCTCCTGGACCAAGTAATATATCCTAAACTGTTTTATAAAGAAAGTTTTACATCATTAGTGGTAAACGTTTTTGCAAGCCTGATTAAAGATGCTTTTCAAAGTCATCGTGAGCCACTGTATTGATTCATAATAGCGATTGCCCATTTGTTCTTTATTGTTATTTAATATTGTTCTACCAGGCTACAGCAAAAATGTTTATCAATATTGTAATAAAACCTGGGCAATATTACTAAACACATCATTGTGCAGGGAAGTTTTTAAGTTTGACTACCTAGCAAATAACAGCCCCTTATGTAACTATTGACACCCAATCATTGTAGTGAAGTCAGTGGTTTATGTGGAGCTTCATAATCTACTATGAGCATGTGTATATAGCTCTATGCAGGTCATGGATGTAATTTAACATTTATATGGCAGGCATGGTACAGGTACCATAATGATTATTAATTTATTGTTGCAATTGTATTGATGTCACGTATCAATTGTTTATATATAGGGTTCCTGCCCTTTCGTAAATGACTCTTCTGACAGGATCATAGTTTTTTTTACCACTGCATGATTAAGTTCAGCCATGTTACACAAACATTTAGGCTGTCTCCCACAACAGAAATCTTTAAGCTGTAGTTCAAAAGACAGCACCAAGCTCAATTTCGAACATCAGATTGGCAAACACAGTAGTGGCTGATGGTAAGCATCAAATTATAGCCAACACTGCAGGATTGCGAATTTTATAGTTACTGCAGATAGAGTAGCCATTCTTGATGCTGATTTTACTTTTTTTGAAATTTCATTTTGACTTTAAGCTACCTATCTTGTCTCAATAATTTTTTGAAGATCCCTATTCCCCTTTTTTAAATTAACAATTTTTAATAATCTTGTTTAATGAGGTTTAAAACCTTGTTGAATAGTCAGCATGGTTTCAATAGGGGGGCAGTCTTACATTACTGATCATTTGACATTCTTTGAAGAGGTTAATGCATATATAGATGAGGGTAGGGTGTTGATTTGGTGTATCTGGTCTTTCAGAAAGCATTTGACAAGGTGCCACATAAAAGGTTTGTTTAAAACAAATATGTAGGTGTGGGGGATAAGTTGACTTTTTAGATAGAAATATGGCAGAATGGAAGAAAGCAGAGGGTTATTGTAAATGAGGTTCAGTCATACTGAATTAAATGTCAAAAATGGGATACCTCATGGCTCAGTGTTAGAAATCTTTGGTCTTTTTGATTTACATCAAGACATACATGAAAGAATGGTCAATAAATTAAATTTGCTGATGATATTAAGGTATTGGGTGTTGCTAGCTGTAAGAAGGATGCTGCTACTTCAGAAAATAGATTCAGATTATGTGGTGGGTTAGACAAATAAATGGTAGATGGTTTTTAATTATAATAGATGCAAGGTAATGCATGTGGGTTATCATAATTTGAATTATATGTATAATTTAGATGGAAAAATCCTTCACAGTGTTATAAAAGAAAAGGGTTTTAGTATTGTGGTTGTTCAGTCTCTTAAGTCATTCAAGCAGTGTGATGTTACCAGTGATAGGGCAAATAGGATTTTAGGTTCTATCTACAGAAATAGTGAATACAAGTCTAAAGAGGTTATAATTTAATTGTAGAGGTCATTGGTTAGACCCCATTTGGAGTATTGTGTTCAGTCTTGAACTCCTTATCTTAGGAAGGACATTGAATTATTGGAAAAGGTTCAGAGGAAGTGTGTCCCCTAGTGGGACAGCAGTAAGCCTACAGTCTTCCAACACTAAAGTCTGGGGTTCAAATCCCCACTGTGGACATTAGCAGATAGCCCAATGTGGCTTTGCTATAAAACACAAAAGGCTATTAGGAGGATACCCGAGATGGAAAGGTTGTCACATGAGAACATGTTAATATATCTGAAATAAATTTCTCTTGAATAAAAAAGAACTAGAGGAGCTTTGACTGAGGTTTTCAAGATTTCTAAGGGAATTACTAGTGTTGATGTATCATCTTTTTTCACACTAAATGATGAGAATAGTAGTACTAGGATCGTAAATATATATAAAGTTTGGCAATTTAAAAAGTCACAGTCAGCTAAGACAGCGCTATTTTTCTAACAAGGTGGTTGGCTTTTGGCATGGGTTGCCTTCAGATGTTATGGATGCAGTATTTTATGTTATTATTTGTGGAACTGTTGTATAACTAAGGCTTCCAATTATGCATTCTAAGTTTTGGTGATCCTCATCAGGGGTGCTTCATTTATTCTTGGAGTTCTAGTTGCTAATGGAATAATTTTTCCATTCCTGAATGACCTGGGAGAGACTATCTTGACAGACACTTTTGTCTATTTTGCTGTTTTCCTGAGGGATATACCCACATCATCGTACTCGTTGTGAAGTCCCGCTTACCCATACTGTGCAGTGAATGGTGTTCATCATTATCACTACTGCAGAGGAAATTCTTTAATGTTTTCCGCAATCAGTGTACTAGACTGGGTAAGTGCTGATTGTGACACAGAAAAAAACAAAAATGGCCCGTGAAATAATTCATCTTTACCCATCTAATGTAAGTCTTAATATAGGAAAGTTCCAAAGGTCAAAATTAAGAAATATTTTTTTCTTATAAGTATTTTTTACTTTTTTTAGTTTTTCATCTATTAATAAGGGGTATTAAAAATTAAGAAAATGT